TAGAGTTGTCAAAGTGGGTTTCAGTCTATAAACTACTTGATCTACCTTGAAAAATAGTCAGACTAGTTTAAATTTCTGTTTTTAAAAGTTCAAAATTGGTAAAAAAAACAAAAATAAATAATAAAAAAAAAACCCTCAACTTGGCCCACTTGAGCTAAATCTGTGGTGGGTCGAATTGCTCACCTAACCAACTTACACCCCCATCAATCCAACCTACTAATAACTCATTTAACCATTTATTGTTATATATGAATTATTTTAATAAGGTATCATTTTTTTGTAAACGAAGATAAACTCAATGTTGAACAATATGAAATTAATATATATTTATCTACTCAAAGTTTCAATGAAGTTTAATGTTGATAGATAATCACTTCAATAATAAGAATTTTTATTTTTTTTGTTGTTCAATATTATATGCATAATATTTAATTTGATAATTTGTATTTTAAATTTGAGTTTATTTTAAATTAAAATAATTTTACAAAATAATTAATGAATTTATGGATCAACCCATCTAATTCATCGATCTGTGATAGGTTAATGTGGACCGGATCTAAACCGGCTGGGGCAGCTCATAACAATCCTAGTTACACAACTATTGTACATTAGGGATGACAAAACAGGCCCGCCCCGCCCATTTTGGTCAAGCCCGCTAATGACCCGCCAAAAACGGGTCGGGCCGGGCCGGCCCCCCAATAGAAAACGGGTTGGGATAGCTGGCCCATCTCGCCTAAGGACGGCTAGCGGGTCGGCGGGCCAGCCCGCATACTACCAAAAAAGTATTACAAAAAAAATTATATATATTTTATGTTCTAATAAGAAAAACTGCTACAAATAAATAAATATAGCCATATGAAATTAAAAATGCATACATATTATACATAATATATGTTCAACAAAAATAAATTACAAACTTATAACAAAATCAAATAGAAATTAGTCCACTTATACCAAAATCAAAACCAAATTATAAACTTACAAATTATTAATAAACTAAATTTTTGATAGTCTACAAAACAAGTCCAAACACAATTAATCAATTTTAACTTTTTATTTCAAGAACATTAGAAGCTCCCTTAGAAGATAAATAAATTAAACATAAAAAATTTAAAATATGTAGTCTGGCGGGTTGTGACGGGCCAGTCCGCTATTTGACCCGGAAAGCTGGCGTGTTTGACGGGATGAGTTTGACAGGCTAGCAGATTAAATTATTAGGCCTAACCCGCTAATTTTGATAGGCCAACGGGCCTACCCACGGGTCAGAGCCCGTTTTGCCATCCCTATTATACACAGATGAGATAAAATAACAACTTTGTAATAATGGATAAATTTTTTTGATAAAAGTTACCCGTGATTTTGTTTCTCTCATCAATGAATTAGTGATGATTGTGGCTGCAATGGGAATTTCAGAAGCAAATTAAAAGGCGGGACTGTGAGAAGTATGTTTTGGTGAAAAAGAAAACAAAATCAGACGTGATGCCTTCGTGGAGCAAAATTTTTAACGACAGATTGTTGAACATGATTTATCATGTTAAATATAAAAAGCAGAGGATCTAAATCCATAATTAAATACATTTCAATGTAATCATGAGATTATATAAAATTATACGAAATTAAGTTATTAAAAATTTTAAAATTAACATAATATTATTACAAATGATTTCTAATATTAAAAATTAATAAACTTTTAAATAAGAGAAAATTATAGTTTGGTGTTGAGCCCTCGTTAGATTAAAAAATATTCTGACAAAATTAAAGACTTTTTTTTTACACAAACAGAATTAAAGAAAAATTAATAATTAATTGGTTATCTACCAGTTCTTTGGTCAACTAATTGAATGGACCGACACTTGACTACTTCGTTGTTTTCTAATTCAGCTAGTCTTTTTAATATTAATCAATAACTTACAATAATTATAAAATAACTAAAAGCAAAAAAATATTTTTTGAAAATATCATTAAAATAATATTAAATTTATTAAAAAAATTACAAAGATATTTATCATAAAAGGTAGGATATAATTAAAAATGTATAAAAGGGCTAAACTTGGTACCATGTTAAATTCACCAAGTTCTACTTCTAACTATATCGTAGATAGAATTTATTCTTGGATCAATGTACTTTTTTTTTTTTTGGATGATATATACACCTCTTTTTTTATAAATACACCTTCTTTAATTTTTGAAAAAAAATTATAAAATATTGTAAAACTTTTAATTTTATACTTCCAACTTTTAATTTGCTACTTTCTTCTTCCTTTTCACACTCTTCTTTTCTCTTTTAGTTTTCACATGCCACTAAAATAGATGGATGAAGGAAAGGTAAGGGGTGCATATAAAAATTGAAAAAAAAAAAAAAGATGTGTGAGAAAAAGTAATAAATTAAATGTTGTGGATATAAACTTAAAAAATTAAAAATTAAAAAAATTAAAAATTAAGAATATTTTAAAATTTTAATTATTTTTTTAAAAAAGGAGGTGTACTTGTAGAAAAAAAAAAAGAGATGTATATATCATGAAGCTTTTTTTACTGGATCATTATATAGTTAACGTATTGTGGCCCATCTTTCACATGGACTCAGTGAACGTTAAGCTGGCCCTGATTAGACTAATTTTTGTTTAAGCCACACCATGACCCAAATTTTAAAGCAAATGACTGAATACAATATTAACTTTAATGAACTTCTTCTAACAAAAATTAAAAAAAAATTAATGAACTTATATATATTAGTAGAATATTTACACTTATCCAATAGCGTGAGTATATGTTATCAATACTAATCAATAACTTCCTATTATTATAAAATAAATAAACATCAAGATTTAAAATACACATTATATTCATAAAAAAATTACAAATTCATAAATGACTGATTATGATCAAAATTCAATGGAAAACACACATGTGCTACACTTAGTACAGTGTTACAGATTAAGGAACACCAAGAAATATTGATTCTACCGTACACATACTTTTATGGCCCATCTTTCAGCTGGACTTGCTCAATAGTTATTCTAATTGGATCAATCTGAACAAATTTTTTTTATTATTGCTTTGTGAACTACCATGTTTCTTCCCGCTCAAAATTAGATTTGTTGATAACAACTCAACCCTTATTCACCTGCACAAGTGCATGATATTGTTTTTGGTGTTCCTTCTTGAACTTGAGTTTTTTGTGTAGGAGTGAATTGTAATTTGTGGATTCTTAATTATAGTTTTGACGATGTAAATAAAATTGAGTTTGGTCTACAAATAACATTTTTAGCAAAATCACGATGGGTTTATAACTGAATTTTGTTACCCGAACTATGTATGATCAGAGTAGAAGTGGAAAATATTTACTTTTCAAGTAAGTAAAACCATAACTTTTACAAAATGAAATCCAAACACACCACCCACTTCTAAAACAGGAGCCAAAAAACCCAGCTTTTTTTTTTTTCATTTCGCTTTTGAGCCAATAAAATCTCAAAAACGTGAAATTCATTTTAAATATTTGCCACATGAGCCTATCTCTTCGGAGATTAGGTCCAAGTTGTTGTGGGCAAGGCAAATTTAGGAAATAAAATATGTGATCACTAATACTATATTATTGCATGAGTATCTAATGCTGTATGCATAGAAAACACATTTTTAGTGCCAAGAAATTAACGTGGCCATTTGTTTATGATCCTCGAATACCTTCCTTTTGACCTACAGTATTATTTAATAATATTCATGTTTTCCCTATTGACTCTTACTTTCTACCGGTCTTGGAAGATTTTTATTAATGACCAAAAAAATGAAGAATTTATCGCTCAAATACCTGACATTGCTCTGTGTTATACTAGTTTTCCTCTTTTATTTCCTCGTTTTGTACAAGTCATAGGAATATGGGGGTTTGTTGAATATAACCTCATTTTTCACATTAAAATATAACTCTCATGGTTCTTAAAATAAGAAAATTATATAATAATCTCTCACGTGTTAGAAAACATAATAAGTAGTAGTTTTTTTAGTATTAAAAGATTCATTAAAATGTTATGCTAAATATTAAACAAAGTATCAACAATGAGTAACATGATTAGTAGATACCTGTGTCACCTAAACATGTAGTGAAGAGTTTGATTTTTAGTGGATATATATAAAATATATTTTTTTAAAAGAGATTAACTTCTTAAATAGATCTCAGTAATTTAGAAGATTAATCTTTTATTTTCGATCTAGGAGATACATGGTTTATGAAAAAAGATTAGAATAATATTTTTTTTTTCTTTTTGTTCATGGAAATTGAAGCTAGTATCCGGAAATTAGTCCCTTTTCTTAACAGAAGCTTCTTAATTGAGCTTACTTTACAGTCTAGTTGTTAGGATCTGATACATGTGGCCTTTCCCACGAGAAGAAAATCTAGAATACTTGGATTTCACTCCTACGTTGCCAAAATTCTATAACGCTCTGTGTGAATTTGGTAATGGTGGATTCCTTTCTTTCAATCTCACCTAATAACATACGTGGATTATATTCACAAGAATTGGAAGAATTTTAGATGGTCTTCCACCACGGGTTGATAGGAATTTTTCCTAACACAAATTTGAATTAATGTTAGTAAATCCTCAACTTGGTTTTCCTCTTTGATTACTTTTCATGATAACACTAAGCACTATAAATCCCGTGTTGTTTCCAAATGCTGCAAGAGCTGTCTTCTCGCTGGCACGCCACACCGTGAAGGCCCAGGTGCTCCCAAACAAGTCAAAGGAACACACTTACCAACACAAAATCATTCATTTACTTTACCCATTCCAATCCAATTTGTCAAAGAGTTAAACTACCTATACATATGAACTTCGGTTGTTTGACGCCGACACAAAAGTTTAAACCTTATTTACCCCCAATATTCTCTGCGACAACATGTAATTGCAATCATCATGCCTTCCATAATAATGTCAACGCTTTTACAACAGGGACCACGAAAATTTCCCCAAAATAATAAAATAAAGCAGAATTATGAAATGAAACAGAAATAATTTCTCAAAATCATGGTATTGTATATTTTTACTATAATCAAAATCAAAATCAGCCTCTGTACAACGCGCCACAACCGGCGCTAGTTAAAACTCTTCCATCAAGTAATATAACAGATCCTGTACCCTACCCAATTTACATCCTAACAAATTAAAATCAACGAATTAGAATATAATAAAAATCGAACAAATTCCCCAATTTCACCTAACACTACTCCATCCATCCGATTCGGACCAACCCGCCGGCGTCTGAACCGTCACGAGCCGGCGGAGGCGATTCTCCGGCGAACACAAACTATCCAAACACGACTCATGAAAATTCCACGGCGATTGAGATTCCGTGGCACTAGAAACCCAATCGGGGAACTCGAAGTGACTTCGGGGCGACTCGTGAAAGTGCTTAAACGAAACAGTGTCTTCCGAAACAAAAGGGTGTGCCAAAAGCATTTCCGCACTCCACCTCTTTCTAGGATCCTTAATAAAACACTTTCCGATAAAATCCTTTCCTTCGTCAGACAAATTTTCCGGTATCCCGGGAACCTCTTCGCCCGCTCCAATACGAAGCAACAACGACCACATCGAGGACCCTTTCTCCACCTGCCACGCCGGTTTCCCGGTAACCATCTCCACGACGGCGCACCCGAGGGCCCAAATATCCGCCGCCGGGCCGCACTCGCCGGCGATCACTTGCTCCGGCGACATAAACATCGGAGTCCCCCTGCATTCACTTCTACTCTGTTCCTCCCCTGCCTCCTTCGCCAGACCGAAATCCGCAATCTTGATTTCCCCGTCCTCGAATACGAGGATGTTTTGCAGCTTTACGTCGCAGTGCACGAACCCCTTTTGATGCACGTGGTTTAACCCCTCCACGATGGACCTCGCGTGGTGTCGAACCGCAGGTTCGGCAATCCGGCCACCGCGGCGTTTGACTTCGTCGGCGAGGGTCCCGGCGGCGGCGTATTCGAGGAAGAGGTTATAAAACTCGACGCCATTCTCCAAAGTGTAGTCATGACCGAAGCAACGAACGATCCTGGGACACGAGCCTAGGCGGTCGAGCACGTGTTTCTCGTTCTTGAGCCAGCGCGAGGTGTTAGCTTCGGAGGACTTGACGGCGGTTAACGGAAACCGACCGGGGTGGGTCTTGGGGATGGCTAAACTAACGGTGGCGAAGCTTCCTCGTCCGACGGCGTCTCCCCGGACCCAGTCCATGTTTGCAATCTCCGATGTTGTTACTCTGTAGCGCGTGGTTTGGTTTGTGTGAAGAATGAGGCAGGGTCTTGTATATATATATATATGAGGAAATATGGTTGATATTGAATGACCGAAGGGTTAAGGCGTGTAGGGAAATTAAGATATTTAAGTAGAAGTGAATTTGGGTTTGGGTGGATGATTGAAGCACGTGATAGGCGAGGATATTTTGTTGGTGAAGAGGGTTTTCCTAATTTGGGTGAACTAGCGTAGCACACTTCTGAACGTGGTTGATGAGATGAACGTTTCCCAAAGATCTTTATGATGACAGATATCACGGTGCGGACAGTGACGTGTTAATGTGGCCGCGTAAATTCTATATTCTTCGTACACTGAATTAACGACTAATTACGTCCTTATACGCATCCCTCGCGCTCATATCACAGTATCTAACCCTAATTAATTATTTTATGCTTCCTGTGTTTTGCACTCATCATCGCATGCACGAGCTTCACAATATTTATTCTCTGCTTCCCAATTCATTGCCGTCGCCCAATCTTATCCTTTTTAGTACCAATTGCTTGCTAGTTGCTAGTTGTTGCTCAAACTTAACAAATTGCATTTTTTTTTATATGTTGAAAAAACTTAACATGTTCATAGTATATCTAGTTTAATATTCGTATAGCATTTTTTGGAATATGCTTGGCTCAAGTTTTTTCGCCTCCTTTTGTTTTTTTTTTTTCCTCTTTGATTTCCCTCCCTTTCGGCGGCGGTGGACAGGAGATTGCATACACTGAATTAAATCCTTTATAGTGTGTTTGGATGAGGAATTTATATAGGCTAATTCATTTATTTGAAGAATTTCAAATTCCTTGAGGTGAAATGCTTAGTTTAGACGAGGAATTTATAAAGAATTTGAAATCCAAGCATTTGTAAATTTCCTTAAAATAGTAGAATTTCAAATTCTCTCAAAAATGGGAGAATTTGAAATTCCTCGTATTTGTTTTTCTTATTTCACCTATATATTTTATCTTATCTCTTCATTCTTTTAATTATTGGATATTCAAAAATATTTTTAAAATTATTAAATATTATCTTATATTAATTTTTAAAATCATTAAATATTATCTAATATTAATTTTTAAAATTATTAAATATTTAAAAATGGATTAATATTTATTTTTATAAAATTTAATTTAAAAATCTCAACATATAAATATATTTTTAAAATCAATTTTACTATGATGGAATCAAATTATCATATTTAACCTAACAATTTAAAATTTAAGAAATTTGAATTGACTCATCCAAACAAAATATTTTAAGAATGATAGAAATTGAAATCAAAGTAATTCAAATACCAAGAATTTAAAATTCCTTGAATTTGTAAAATTCCTCATCCAAACACACTAATGCTTTAACAAGTGACATCAATATGGCCTCTAAAATCACTTTTTCACGTAAAGTTATTGTTTGATGTAGAGAGGGAATTATAATGGCCTTTCATATATGGGTAAATTATGTAATCTATATTGAATTTTGAGAAATTATGAAAAATATTTTTGAATATTATAATAGTACACCGCAAAACTACTCAAATTAAACTAATAATAAGAATTGAGATAATATACTTAACGTTTTATATTCAATTTTTTTTATTATTATAATTTTGATTGATAAAAAAATATTACACCACTTTCTTAGTGGATTTCCTAAAATAATATGCATAATTTTGTTTTTAATTACAATTACTTTCGCTATAACTAAATTTATGTGCCAATCCGCACATATAAGTGAAATTAATTAAGAAAACATCAACACAGTATTCAACATTAAAGTGAGTGTTTCACTAAATTTTACAAATCTTAACAGAATTAAGTATATTTTACTCCTGACTTTTTTCAATTATTTAATTTTAAGCAATTCGTTCGAGATTCAATATAAAAGTAGGATATCCATAAAAATAAAATAAAAAATAAAAAAAATTCGAATAGCGCGTAAGGGTAAGTAACCCAAAAAAAAGAAAAACTAAAACAAAATATGAAAATTTCTGCTGAAAATTATTGAATTTAATTAGAAATGCCGAATACTAAAGATTTAATTATAGGAAACATTTTGTTCCTGTATTAGGAGACACACCTTAATTATTCGAATCGTCCCGATTTTGGTTTTTGGTTTAAGTCTTCTCGTTCCTCTCTAGGTAGTCCGAGGAAGGGGGAGGTGCCTGTAAAAAACACTCCGACGTTCAAGTAGGGGATCGACATATTAAATTTGGTAGTTAAAGTTAGTTACATACCTCGTTGAGAGTCTATTTATAGTAGTTGTTGGACCGTGATTAGGGATTGGACCCCGAGAAATTAAAGAGTTAAACTGGTATATTAAATAAATTAATCTCTTCTTAATTAAACTTACTTAACTTGGTAGGCTAGTGTATGCAAAACCTGCTAGTTGACCCGATTGACCATAATTTAATTGAGCCAACCGGGTCGCTCATGCTTGGTATGGTCGGTCAGATCGACCGAGTTTCGTGTTCGGTCTGGTCGACTGCCATCCGGTATACCTTTAATTGAAAATCTATCAAAATATACAAAGCATGGGTTGGAAAGGTAATTGGGTTCCTGTCTGTATCCCATTTATTTGAAATCAAACCAGATAATGAATAATGATCTTTTACTGAAAGCTAAATCTGCGGGGCGTATGGTGTTGAAATTAAATCAATCTAAATTAGATTGTTCAATTGGAAAAGGTGATAAAAATGTGCTCCAAATTTATTATATTTGTTTTTCTGAAAATTAGGCACGTTTCCGATCTAAATAATAGATTCATGTTTCGATTTGGTAATTAAAATATGGAGACTGGATTTGTTCAATTAGCAACCGACACTCGCAAAACATGCATCTATATATTCCGCGGGGCCAGAAGTGATATATTCAAACGTGTATTCATGGATTAAGTAATTAGAATTTCTACGGTACCCTCTATAAAAAAAAGTACTGATACTGTTGATGATGTGTCATTTACGTATAAATCCAAGTCATTTATAATTTTTTAATTATTTAAAATTTACGTCCACGTATGAAGTTTATGTTTTTTAATTTATTTTTCGGAATCTTTCTGGCTTCCTATTTCTTTCCTCTTTGCGGCCCGCGAGCGAGACAAAGGCGGAGACTGCGATTGCCGGTGAGTTGTGGAGGAGAAGCGTGGCGGAGAAGGAGAGGACATCAAGGCGGCCGTGGAAAGTGACGGTGGCGCCGGGGGGACGGAGGGTTGACGGAGAGTGACGGTCTCGGGCTCCCAGGTTATAACGAGTGGCGGTTTGGGCTTGTTTTTTGGAGGGCGGAGGAGGAGGGGAGGGAGGAGCGGCAAATGGCTGTGGCGAGGGAGTTGAAGAAGTAGGGGAAGGGGTTGAGGAAGAGGGGAGGGGAGCGGATTTGGTCCATAAATTCAAGCTCGTTGAGGGGCCGGGTTGGTGGCAGCGTCAACGGTAAAGCGGAGATGGAGGAGAGAGAGAAATTCGATGAGAGAAGCAGAGATCGTCACTCGCAACGCCACCGCTAGCATCGATCGGATAGAAATCACAAGCGCGAACTCAAATCTAGGGATAGGTCAAAGGTGAAGCGCAATGAAGAGAGGGAAGATTCGATCGCATTCTCATAAGCGGAAGGAGAGGGAGCACAGCGTGGATGAGGAAATTAGGGTTTCTGAGGATAAGAGGGAATGAAGGAGGTTTGGGGATAAATTCAAGAAGGACGAATTAGAACAAGAAGAAGCAGACGGCCATGATATGATGATACTATTCATGACTCATGCCTCTGCATCTTAAAATAAATAATATAAAAATTTAAATAAAAAATAATTTTTATTTAAAAGGCTTATATGATATTTAAATGATGTGTACATACACATCAGATACAGTATCAAAACCCCTCATTTTTTGAGGGTACAGTAGCAACTCCCTTAAGTAATTTGAATCATACATTCTACACCAAAAAATATTAACTAATTTAAAGTACCAAAGTTAAATCGTGCATTCTACAATTAGGATTTGATATAATTTTTTTGAATTTGATTTAGAAAGTATAATTCAGAGAAAAAAAAATTATAATTATCGAGCAAAATATATATAGGCATAAATATTTACAAATCTTAACAGAATTAAGTATATATAGGTCTTATTAAGCATGGTTATCATGTAAATGCACCGATGAAAACAAGGTTTGTAATTAAAATTCATTATTTTAAACTTTTAAAATCAGTTGTTTGATTTTAAAAGAGTCAATTTTATAAGTTTAGACTATTAAAATCATATTAGAACTAATTTAGAAATCTACCTTTTAAAATCAAAACACAACCAAGAACATCAAAGACATGGAGCAACCATGAAATTATTCAGCAAATTAATCAGAACATTAGAGATAGAGCAACCTGATGAGGAGATGACCAAAAACAAGGAACATGAAGCACTTGAAAGACTGAACCTATGACAAAGGCAAGAACAAGGAAAGTCAAGAAAGTTCTACAACAAGTGTTGGCAACCACTATTAAATTAGGACTATGTCTTGAATATGCAAAGCATAAATTGTATAATTACATCATGATCGAAGGAGATGATGCATTGCCTTAATGGAAGGATAGTTAACATAAATAAATTCAAGATTGGAGTGCAAAGGAAAGTTAATAATTTGCGGCCAGACTTAAAGGATTGGACAAATTAAAGCTCATTTTAGTTGTTACTTTCTTTCAAATAGTGGGCAGGCCAACTTTGCACAAAATAGTGGGCTGAGTTAATAAATTTTTGGACAGTTATACTTTGATTTTAAGGTTTCCAATTATTAGTTTCTATGTTATTTTCATTAGAGTTTACTTTGTAACATTTTTGAATGCCAAGGCACTATATATATGTAGTGTCTAGCCAAGGCAATTTGGGAAATTATCATTTTGGTTAAACACAAACTTTGAGAGAGTTCTTTCCTGGGTTCTTGCATCCCAATTATCTGAGATTTATCAAAGGTCATTCCACTCCTTTGTGTGTTCAATTTCCAGGCTTATCTTCCATCATTGGGAGTGGTGTGACGCCTACCAACAGTTTCTTCCTATTTCTTTTCTTTCAATTTGCATGAGTTACATTTTGCACCATCTTAAGCAACTTGATTGGCGTTGGATTTGCTTAAATTATCTCCTTTTCTTTCTCTTTTATGTCACACCCAATTCTGATCATGCTCGCTTGGTTTTAATTTGTTTCTTTATTTCAATTCTAATAAATTTGTAACTTAATTTTCCTAGAG